TAACCCTGAACTTGAGGTTGTTATACTATCACACTAACCTTGAACTTTAGGTTGTTATACTATCACACTAACCTTGAACTTTAGGTTGTTATACTATCACACTAACCTTGAACTTTAGGTTGTTATACTATCACACTAACCTTGAACTTTAGGTTGTTATACTATCACACTAACCTTGAACTTTAGGTTGTTATACTATCACACTAACCTTGAACTTTAGGTTGTTATACTATCACACTAACCTTGAACTTTAGGTTGTTATACTATCACACTAACCTTGAACTTTAGGTTGTTATACTATCACTGTAACCTTGAACTTTAGGTTGTTATACTATCACTCTAACCTTGACTGATACAGGTATACAATGAATAGTCGACTGATACAGGTATTCAATGACTAGTCCACTGATACAGGTATACAATGACCAGTCCACTGATCCAGGTATACAATGACCAGCCCACTGATACAGGTATACAATGACTAGTCTACTGATACAGGTATACAATGACCAGTCCAATGATACAGGTATACAATGACCAGGCCATTGATACAGGTATACAATGACTAGTCCACTGCTACAGGTATACAATGACTAGTCCACTGATACAAGTATACAATGACTAGTCCACTGATACAGGAATACAATGACTAGTCCACTGATACAGGTATACAACGACCAGTCCACTGATACAGGTATACAATGACAAGTCCACTGATACAGGTATACAATGACTAGTGCACTGATACAGGTATACAATGACTAGTCCACTGATACAAGTATACAATGACTAGTCCACTGATACAGGCATACAATGACTAGTCCACTGATACTGGTATACGATGACAGGACCTCAGACCAGCTTTAATACTTTGTGTTGTAGATTTTTCAGCACCTGTATGCACAACTATTGTATTGTGTGATATTTCACTAATATATATTGATTTACAAAAGTAAATATGTATTTGATTGACTGTTAAAATTGAGGTTTATGTATGAAGTTCCTAATTCCAGAGTCAGATTGTTTATTGATTTTTTAACAGGATTTTCACCCAAAAAGTATGTAGGGGACCTCGTTCATAGCTAAAATTGTGAACAAACTTTTCTTTTTGTGTAATATTGAAAATTTCTTAAAATATTCTGATGTAGAAATATTGCTTTTGAATGAAAGGGGTTTATTCTTTGGAGTGAAGCTTTGAAGTATTTGACCGTATATTGTATGTTTTCAGGAGAGCATATTCCAGATGCTACGTGAGATGTTCGAGGGAGCCACTGCCCTACCTGCACCCCAAGGGATCGGTCATAACCCTCAGTCACGGGCAATGTATGCTGTTGACTTACTGCTGAGGTGGTCTACAGACAAAAATGGTGTGTATTCTTCATTCAGACAAATATAACTTGTACAAACAGTAAAAAATGGATCAACTTTTAATATTCTTGTCATATACACGTTTTTCTGTATAAGAAGATTATTTAACTGCAGTCCTCTTTAAAACTATCAAAGTCATTTTATTTGTGCAGAATAATTTAACTCTTACTAAATGTATGTGGTAAAATAATTACTTATGATTTACTTATCTTGTTAAAAAATTATAATGGTAAAAATTGTCAGAAATATGTCGAGATCTGCTGTATCACATGAGAGTACTTATGTTTAAGATTATTTAGTACATAAAGGCTGTCAATATAACATACATTAAGGCTCAGTTGAATTATCAGTGATATCAATATATAAGGTATTTAGTTTTAGCTGTACAGAAAAGTACTCATTGTTTTTTTAATTTTAGGTGTAAAAGTGATTCGTCCTGTGTTGTGTGAAGTAAACTTTATGCCAGACTGTGATAGGGCGGTGAAATATCACCCATTTTTCTCAAACGATGTGTTTAGTACACTCTTCCTGGATGATCCTGAGAGCAAGTATGTCACACAGCTTCTCTAAGACTCGGCTTGTAGTAGAATTCAAAATGGAGGGCAATTAAACTGAAGAAGCTGCAATACCCACACTTTTTCTGGGAAGCTGGATTGTAATCTTGTCAGAAGTGAACCATGAGAAATATTAAAAATTGTTTCAAATGTCAAACAGCAGGCAAATACACTTCCAGAATCAGAGAAGGAACCTGTGCTTGATTGGCTTCTGTAAGATCCTCGTGATCAGTTAACTAGGCCGCTTTCCTTTATCACAATCCAAACAGTTGGACCAGAGTTGTTCATTTATGAAATAAGGTGGGACTCAGTAATCTGATGTTGCTTTCAGGCGAGCCTTGACAAAGCCTTGCAAGGCCTGCATAAACATGTCCATACCTGCAAGGATTTATACCCAAAAATGTTACATTTAAAAACAGGCAAACCAGTTGTTCCCCGTAAACAAACAGTACAAAATTGTATATGTATATGTATATATCCCTCTCTGATGTCAGAGGGAACACATAATCTGGTAATGGTGTTATCGCTGTTTGTAGTTCAAGGGAGGTTACTGTGATAGGTACATGTAAGATGTTCTGTGCATAATACACAATGAAAATAGGATAGGAGAGAAACTTTAGCCAACCTCAGATCTCTCTTAAATGTTGATTGTTAAAACTATGTGTTTCTTTATATAGTATAACCTGTTAATAACAGAACCTCTCTGCTTAAGTAACTTGTACAAAGTTTTATCAGATCAATTTCTTATTATGGTAAAATTTGAAATCAGTAAGTGAACATAAATGAAATATGTGTGTCTTAAAAATTAAAATAGTCACATTTAGTTTATAAACATCATACAAAAATGTTACTGTAGATATTTTTCCAAAAAAAGTAATGAGAATAAAAATGTGACTTAATGTATCAAAAACACTTAATAAAATAATCTTGATACAAATTTTACAGACACAAACCTCTTAGTAGGTTTCACAGGACATATAACCATGGAACCTGTGTAAGTCAAAAACGTATATATACAGTGTATTCTGAACAGAAACACTGGTCATGGAGATGTTTGTTTAAACAGGGTTCACTATATTGTGTTATCTAAGTTTTTAAATACTGTTTTTAAAATAAATTTTGCCCGATTAATTATATATGTCATGAGAGATAGCATGCCAACATTATTGGTTAAACTGACCTTTTATTTTTAAACTACAGCACTGATTATAGAGGATTGACATAAAACTGTATGTCTACCAGTTTTCCTCTGACTAATAAGGAAAGTATGCAAAACGATTTGACTAAGAGATATACCCCGAGTTAACATTATGTAACGTATTCCATTGTAAGGGAGAATACTTGAACTAAAAAAATGTCAATAAGTGGAACTCTTTTTTATTTACGACTGATGCAATGGTAAATTTTACATGAAGGATTGGACAACAATAGATAATTAATAAGTCTATTTATGGATAGACCAATAATAGAATGCACTGTGAATAAACCAAAGTAGTTTATGTGAAGAGTGCACAGGTTAATTATTGAGTCTCTATGTCAGGTTGAACAGTAGCTGTTTATGTAGACATATGTCACTAAGACTCTGGCAGTTTGAACAGTAGCTGTTTATGTAGACATATGTCACTAGGACTCTGGCAGGTTGAACAGTAGCTGTTTATGTATACATATGTCACTAAGACTCTGGCAGGTTGAACAGTAGCTGTTTATGTATACATATGTCACTAAGACTCTGGCAGGTTGAACAGTAGCTGTTTATGTAGACATATGTCACTAAGACTCTGGCAGGTTGGACTGTGGCTATATATATGTAGACTAATCCATGTAGAATCATTCACTCCTTTAGGGGTGAGATAGGTGAATTTCACTCCCAGGGGAAGATTCTTAATTAAGTTGCCATACACTAATCTTGCCGAGCGTCTGGCAACTTAAACATCTTTCACTGATGGTAGGGATTTCCTTAACTCACATCAAGGGGGTGAATGATTCTTTGTTTCTTTACCCTGCTGACCCTATCATATACTTACCGGTAATACAATGTTAATGTTCCAGGTTCAATGTATTGTTGGTGTGACTTTGACGCATTGTTTACGGGACATCATGGCATTGTTTTGACTGGGGAATCCCTGTATATGATGATTAAATTTGAATTGTCAAGTTAGTACTGTTATTTTAAGTTTTGCTGTGTGGAATTGTCATAATGTTATTATTAAAAACTGCTGTAAATGGTGATATGCTCTTAACTGTGATATTATCATGGTGATATATCATTTACTTGAGACCAGGGCCCGTATTCATGACACTGTTCTTATGCCTAAGCACTAAATCATGCAACAAAGTCAAAAAGTCAAGTCTAGACATCGCAAACGATGATTGGCATTACATCTCTCAAACATTCTTTCAAATCATAGGAAATTGTGACTTTTGATTAATTTATCATCTTAACAAGAAATTAGGCCTGAGTACAGAATCTGAGTTCATGAATATGGACCCAGGGAGTTCAAACATGTGCTGCTACTGTGGTCACAGCTTTGTGCCTTTGTTTGGTTAAAAAAGACTGAGAAATAGGATGTTTTGATGGTTACATTTCGACCTTTGACCCTAAATATAAGTGCTATATTGACCTTTGACATACAGGTTTGGGCTGTGTTGTTGTGTTTGTGTTGGGCAATGTCTTCTTTGTGTTTGTGAGATCGGACTAAGTTTACAATAAAAAAGAATAAGACAAAAGTATCAACCACTTTTTATGGGTTTTTTTCAAAATTATGCAAAAATTATATTTTTTTTGTTTGATTACAAATGATACAGGTAGGATAGTGGAAAACCAACGTCGGCAGTGTTATTGTTCGATAGCATTCAATTAATTTCCAGATAATGGATTCCTAATCAGAGACATATATACTACTTTATTCGTCTCTGTCCAAATGAAATTCAATAGTCCTCTCTGAAGTAGTCAATGAGTCCTGTGTGACACAGGTGGACTAGGGTGCTGTTGGGTTCTCTGAAGTAGTCAGTGAGTCCTGTGTGACACAGGCAGACTTGGGGGCTGTCGGGGTCTCTGAAGTAGTCGGTGAGTCCTGTGTGACCCAGGCGGTCTAGGGTGCTGTCGGGTTCTCTGAAGTAGTCGATGAGTCCTGTGTGACACCGGCGGACTTGGGTGCTGTCGGGTTCTCTGAAGGAGTCGGTGAGTCCTGTGTGACACAGGCGGACAAGGGTGCTGTCGGGGTCTCTGAAGTAGTCAGTGAGTCCTGTGTGACCCAGGCGGCCTAGAGTGCTGTCGGGTTCTCTGAAGTAGTCAGTGAACCCTGTGTGACACAGGCGGACTAGGGTGCTGTCGGGCTCTCTGAAGTAGTCAGAGAGTCCTGTGTGACACAGGCGGACTTGGGGGCTGTCGGGTTCTCTGAAGTAGTCGGTGAGGCCTGTGTGACACAGGCGGACTAGAGTGCTGTCGGGTTCTCTGAAGTAGTCAGTGAGTCCGGTGTGACACAGGCGGACTAGAGTGCTGGCGGGTTCTCTGAAGTAGTCAGTGAGTCCTTTGTGACACAGGCGGACTAGAGTGCTGTCGGGTTCTCTGAAGTAGTCAGTGAACCCTGTGTGACACAGGCGGACTAGGGTGCGGTCGGGTTCTCTGAAGTAGTCAGAGAGTCCTGTGTGACACAGGCGGACTTGGGTGCTGTGGGGTTCTCTGAAGTAGTCGGTGAGTCCTGTGTAACACCGGCGGACTTGGGTGCTGTCGGGGTCTCTGAAGTAGTCGGCGAGTCCTGTGTGACACAGGCGGACAAGGGTGCTGTCGGGGTCTCTGAAGTAGTCGGCGAGTCCTGTGTGACACAGGCGGACAAGGGTGCTGTCGGGTTCTCTGAAGTAGTCAGAGAGTTCTGTGTGACACAGGCGGACTTGGGTGCTGTCGTGTTCTCTGAAGTAGTCGGTGAGTCCTGTGGGACACAGGCGGACAAGGGTGCTGTCGGGTTCTCTGAAGTAGTCAGAGAGTCCTGTGTGACACAGGCGGACTTGGGGGCTGTCGGGTTCTCTGAAGTAGTCGGTGAGTCCTGTGTTACACAGGCGGACTAGGGTGCTGTCGGGTTCTCTGAAGTAGTCGATGAGTCCTGTGTGACACCGGCGGACTTGGGTGCTGTCGGGTTCTCTGAAGTAGTCGGCGAGTCCTGTGTGACACAGGCGGACTAGGATGCTGTCGGGCAAATACCACGTCTATGCTGTCAGCCAACATGGTGTAAATCTTGAACATCTTGTCCAGCTTATCCCCACAAAAGGCCTGTCCGCCTCGAACCAGCATAGGAATCAGACTACATAGTATACGTTCACACGGATTCTGCATGATATCATCTGTACCTTTGAGTCAATAACAGTCGGATCAAAGTCAGTTTCACTGATTTCACAGCATCTCAGACATTGATGCTATGTCAATAACGGACACCACGTTATAGGGCCACTCCTTGATAACCAAGTGCTAATCGGATGTTAGGGTAGCTTCCTGTTTACAAAAAGTCTTATTTTAAGACTCATTTCCAAACAAGAAAATTAAGGCCTTTTCACATTTCGCTCCTATAACTTTAAGTATCAGTGCTGGTTTCACATGGTATTTCAGATTGTTATATGCTGGCTCTTTCTATCTAAACTGAACACAAAATGGTCTAACATTTTAAACCACCAAGATGCAGTACCACAATAAAGTTATCATATCAAGTGACCTAAATTTCCAGTTGGACTATATATCTGAATTATCGAATTTCGGGGTCTGATGAGGCATGTGGCAGATTTGGTTTGGTTTAGTAATGTTTAACGTCCTATCAACAGCTATGGGCATTTAAGGATGGCCTCCCCTGTGTGCAAGATGCATGCGTGTAGTGTATGCGTGTCTGTTTTGGGAGGCTGCGATATGTTCTTGTTTGTCTCCTTGTGATAGCGCGGAACTGATACCGACTTTATAGTGCTACCTCACTGAAACATACTGCCGAAGACACCCAGCAGGACACCCCACTCGGTCAAACATTATACTAACAACGGGCGAACCAGTCGTCCCACTCCTAAATTGCTGAGCGTTAAGCAGGAGTAGAAACTACCATTTTTACAGACTCTGGTATGTCACGGCCAGGGGACAGAACCCAAAGCCTTCCTCTAAGGGGCGAACGCTCAACTAAAGACCAAAAGTGAGGCATTGTAGAGAGACAGTAGGAAGAAGAAAATTGTTAAGAAAGAAGAGAAAAGATAAGATCCCAAATTTAGTCGCCTCTTACGATTATGCAATATGTGCAACAGGTACAATTCTTACGCCCTACCTGCAGGGACGCATGTGACAGAAGTTACCTACACCAAAAGCCATACAGGGAAGATAGTTCTGGCACTGACGGAGCACTTTGATGGTATATTCGTGTGTCTTTAAGATATTAAGGAAACCAATCTGGTGATTATCGGTGATTATCCTGCAAGGGAGGTCAACATCCAGAAATACCGCGAAATTTACATGTCAGATTTTATCGAAAGCATTTGATGCTTTTTAACCATGAATGCCATACTTACCAAAACGTCTTGATACCCCAATAGGCTGATTGGTGTTTCACAATCCCAACGACAATGTGTTACTAAACCCCTAATGACAAATTCTAGATTTCGTTTTTTCTCAGGGGTCGGTTACCACGAAATATTACTTTTATTTAAAATTGATCAGGGAGTTTCGTCGTCTTTATATTCACAGGATCGCTTGAACACCAGATAGCTGTATATAAGCTTGCCTGACAGACTTCAGTACTTGAATGAACACCAATTCAACGTCCTTAAAGCCTAATCAGGAAGAGACAGGACTATTTGTCTTTTCTACCAAGCACGTGCTAACAAACGG